CTTGATGTCAAAACAATTTGATCGAAATGGCCTGATTTTCGATATCAATTTCGATTCGATGAGTTTTCGATGACATCGACATCGAAACGACGTCGATTCGACATCAGCCTTCTCACTGGGTAGATTTATGTCACCAATACACCGCATGAACGTCTAATCGCGTCGTATACTTCGCCTTTTATGTCGCAACAACGCCTAGGGACTATACGTTGCCCTGAGGGTGCCGTCCCATGGCACAGATTTTTCACGTAACGCGTATCGCGTAACCAATCAGAGGTGTTACGCGTTACGCGTTTTCTGTTTACGCAAAATTTATTTCCATGTGTCCCATGGAATATAAAAAGGTTAAATAGCATACACGATAGCCAATCACATCTTTATATTCTTTTAGACTGTTTCAATAGAAATTGCAAAGGTCGCAATTTATTGGTTACGCGCATTTATAATATAATACTCCATGGGACATACGGAAATCAATTTTGCGTAATGCAGCTAGCATACACACATATTATACATACATACACATTATATACAATTACCGAAAAAAATAATAATAAGCAAGCAAGCAGTTTCCGAAAATGAATTCCGATCAACTATTATTATATATTTTTACTTTTCACAAGAAAATGTTACAAACAATTAATCATACAACGGCAGAAATTAAGTTAAAGAAATTAACAGCTTTATATTTATTAATGTGTCAAAATAAAAGAAAAATAGCGTGTAAACGAAAATATTGGGTTCATCCAATTTTTTCGACCAATATTAGAAAGCAATTTGGAGCAAGTAACACTCTCATAAAAAAATTATATTTTTATAATGATAAGAAATTTATCAATTATTTTCGAATGCCTGTAGACGTTTATTGATAAATTACTTACTGCAGTTGAACCATACATTAAAAAGCAAGAATGTGTTCGAGAAACAATATCTACAAATATACGATTAGAAATATGTTTGCGGTATTTGGCTTCTGGAGATAGTAGGAAATCTCTTTCTTTCGCATTTCGAGTAACGCACAATACTATTTCAAAAATTGTGTCTGAAACATGTGATGCAATTTGGGTAGCATTAAAAGATACAGTTTTTGAGAACCCAAAAAAGATTAGTACTTAAAAATAGCAAATGAATTTGAAGAAAAATGGAATTTCCCAAATTGTATAGGAGCATTAGACGGAAAACATGTCATAATCCAAGTAATACATGACTCTAAAGTATTTTATTTTAATATTTAATATTAAACTACTAATTTTTTTTTAAACTGCACAGGTTCCTCCAAACAGTGGATCTACATTTTACAATTATAAGGGTCAACACAGTATTAATTTACTTGCACTTTGTGTTGCACAATATCGGTTTACCTTCTTAGATATTGGAGCGGAAGGACGGCACAGTGATGGTGGAGTGTTTCGTAATAGCAAATTATTTACTTTATTAGAAGAAAATTCTCTACACCCAAACAGCACAAGGACGTCCCCAGGGCGTTCAGGACGGGATTTGAGGACATCCTCTCAGGAAGTCTTATTTTCATCCAGGGATGTCCTAAGGACATCCTGTGGTATAGCAAATGAGCACCTCATCGTGTCCTTAGGAGGTCCCGAGGACGTCCTCAGGACATATTTACACACTGAAAAAAGAATCTGGTTGCATTAATAGAAAATCTGTTAGAGTTAACTAGTATGTCTATTTGAAAATCGACGAATCAAAATTCTTATAGGATTCACCAGACGAATACATATGATTAATTTTTTTTTGTTAAATCTATCAGAATTTCTTGTCGATCGAATCATTTTTCTTGTTAAATATATCAGAAATTTTTGTTGATCGAACAATTTTTTTGTGTTAAATATACCAAAATTTCTTTTGTTGTGTAACTGATTTTCTCATATTAAATACACTTTAGCATATATTAATTTCCAGAAATATAAGATTCTAAATTAATTTTGGTACAGAATTAAAAACTGTACTATCAAAATACATCTTTCGGTTTTTTTCATATTTGATCGCACTTTAAGAAATGGTAAAAATCTCATGATGCTGCATCTTTTATACTATTGCGTAGTGATTTTTAAATTGAAATTCGTCCATCATGTCCATCTTGTGGCGACAGAGCGTACTAATATAACCAGAAATTTTGTAGATCCAACTAGAAAATATTAATCAAATCCATATAACAAAGTCTATCAAATGTTCTAGTAATACAATATCGAATCCTCTTATTATAATTAGAAATTCTGTTTAATATAAGTATTTATATATAATGGCTGTACATTATTCAATAAATTGCTAATTCCAAAAAAAATGTATAATGTCGTTAGTCTGATTATGAGTTTCAAATCATTATGTTAAAGAATGACACAGAATTTATCGATTTTTATTTATAATGACATCGAATTTCTGTTCATACGCACAATATCTATAATCCTGTGGAAATCTTGAACTATCCTACAAGAATGTCTCTAGGACCTCCTGAGACTGTCCCCAAGACGTCCTCAGCCTGAACTGAGGCTGTTCTAAAAGTATCCTGAAGAAGGTATCCTAACCCTTACAAAAAAGACGCACCGGCTAGG